AAAAAAAAAAAAAAAGGATGGGCTGTAGGGGCACGGCAGGGGATGGTGTTTGTTAGGAATAACAAAAGTCACTCTCCTGTTACTCGGGAAATTCCCAAGGGTTTTAGGAGTTCTATAATAAGAACCAAGAACAAAGACCAAATGTACTTTTGTCTTATACCTCAATAGACTAGTCATTTAACCACTCTGTGCCTTAGTTTTTTATGAAATGAGGGAAATGGAAGCACCTATTTACCAAGGTGGCTGTGAGTATTCAGTGAGAACTATTTCCTGGTATTTTACATAAGAGTTAATTTGTAAGAGTTAAATATTATTTTATTTGTTGCTATGTAACTTATGTAACTACCAAATGAACACATTTGATAGTTTTTCTTTTTTGCATGTAGCCAACAAATAGGCAACTGTAGCCTTTTACGCAGTTTAAAGTATGTCAATGAAATCTTTAGAATCTTGTTAAATTATTTCTTAATTTTGATAGGGTAAACTTCTTATTTGATCTTTCCCATCTCTATATTCCATAAATCAGAAACCTTGAATTTCTGCTATTCTAATATCTGGTTTGTTGTTTTTTGTTTTCTTTTTTAGTACTACTAGTTGACAAGTGACTGTTTCCATGGCCTTATATATTTCATTATTCAAACATTGAGCAGCATTTTATTCTTAAAGTTTTTTAGTTACTTGAAAACTACTGAGGTGCTCTTATATTAATATATACCTATAGCAGCTACATATGTAAAATTATGTTAGGGGTTTCTTAAATGGGTTTAAAATATATATAAATATGTTTTCTCTAATATCTATTTTTGAAAAGAAACAATTTACCTGATTGTGAATAACTTGATTTTTAATAGGTTCACCTCATATTTTATATGTATATATAAATACATATGATATGAATAGGGCAAAAGTTTTGTAGCACTTGTGGGCTATTAAATAATACTAATAAAATAAATAATAAATAAGCAAACATAAAATCAATATACGCCCACTGAAAAGTAATTCTACTAATTTCCCTTTTACTTTACACCCTAGAGTATTTGCAGTTCTTATAATAGTTAAAATGTAATATTGATGTGTCAGATAGGAATTTAGAAATATAATTCTGGACCTAAATTATATAGTAATTTGTCAATCTTTGATGGTTGTACCTAAAGAGAAGAAGCTGTTTCTAGGCACATTTACCTATGTTTTGTACATCAGGATTGCTAATATTTTTAAATGAGGTCAGAAGTTATTGGTAGAAAGCACAAATACTAATTTGATGAAAGTAAAATAATGTAAAACTTCTCCCTTAAAATCCTAATGTCTTATAGTCAATAATTGTCAATAATTAGCTTAATCTATAAAACACAAAGGAAAATAGTTTTAAGAAACTATTGTAAGAAATAGTGTGTTCTAAGAAAAAAATGAAGAATGAAAATTATGAATAAGATGAATGAAAAACAACAAAGATTTTGTCAATGGGTATGAGCTCTAGATAAAATGAAAAGTTAAGTCAACAGATTTATTTCCAGTTTTATTAAAAAGAAAAATAGAATATCATGAATAGTAAAGTTTATCTTCTTTATATATTTTATAGGAATAGGGCTAACAGAATTGGTTTTTCTAGATTATAAATTTGTTTATATTTTTAGGCCCTGTGTTATAAAATATGGTTCATCTGATACTTGCATGCCTTCTAGCCTTCTCCATGCCTCTAAATATGAGATGCTATCAAAGCTTACGTAGTAAAAGCCTAGTAATTCTCACTAATAAACTTTTTAGAATTTTGTTTTGATATTAAAAACTATTTTTTAATAATAGATTGCATTATATCCTTTTTATTTTTTTCTTTTTCTTTTTTTTGAGACAGAGCTTCACTCCATTACCCAGGCTGGAGTGCAGTGGTGTGATCTCAGCCCACTGCAACCTCCATCTTCCAGGTTCAAGCAATTCTCATGCCTCAGCCTCCCAAGTAGCTGGAATTACAGGTGTGCATCACCAATCCCAGCTAATTTCTCTATTTTTAGTAGAGACAGGGTTTTGTCACATTGGCCAGGATGGTCTTAAACTGATGACCTCAAGTTATCTGCCCACCCTGGCCTCCCAGAGTGCCGGGATTATAGGTATGAACCACAGCGCCTGGCCAGATTGCATTTTTTTCTGATCTGATA